TGAGCCAGCCAGAAGGGGAGGAGTGTTAAGCTCCCCATTAGCCGGATCCAGGTGATTACCGGCCAACGCGGATGTTTTAATTATAAAAAAGCTGTTTATGTGTCACTACTGTTTTATTTTTATTTAATAACATGAATGTAGGATATGTTATTTTATTCATATGGGTAGAGATGTGTAAACACATTTAATACAAGACTAAAGCTGTGAATATTCAGTCTGAACTGATCTGACTCATCAGAATATTTTAAACTACATCAGCCAACAACGCTGACCAACTATCAGAACAATCTGTTTGTTTCTGACTGAATGAAAAAAGAAATAATTCACTCACAAAAACAGCAGGAGCTACATTAACAGGTGGCGTGAGTGGATCGTCCGGTTGGGCTGAGGTGGCTGGAAACTCTGCTGGGAACGTGGTAGTCGAGCCTTAAACCTCTACTCTATCCGTACCGCAAGACTGATCAGGTCCTCCAGGTTCTCCAGTTCGGGACAGTAGGCGAGCTGGTCCCATCTCCAGCGGTCAACGGGCAAGTAGGCGGGGTACAACCTGGACAGAGAGCCAGTCCATCGCAGGGCAACACAGAGACACACAGGACAAACTATCATGCACACACACTCACACACACACACACACATACTCACCTAAGGTGTGATTTAGACAGACCAATTAACTTAACAGTCATGCTTTTGGACTGTGGGAGAAAGCCGGAGAACCTGGAGAGAACCCACGCATGCACAGGGAGAACATGCTAACTCCATGCAGAAAGATCCCAGGCTGGGAATCAAACCCAAAACCTTCTCGCTGCAAGGCAACAGCTCTAACCACTGCACCACTGCGCAGCCGCAAGTCAAATATTTTAAAATTAATTTTTTTCTTCTTCATGTTATTGGGGGGGGGGGGGGGGGGGCAATGCGCGTTTGTCCAATATTGAAGGGGACACGTCACACCCATCCCCCCGGGTCCTATGCCCTTGGTGGCCCATTGCCTGAATACCAACATACTGGACTCCCGATGCAGTGAACAACACTGTAGACTTCACGTGTAACTCCTGTGTTCTTGGTATTTGTGCTTTATTGTTTCTTAGGTAAAGTTTTACTTTTTGGCCCATTTTGATGCATTCTGGCTTTTCAGTGACTGTACCAGCCCCGTGATGCAAACAGCTAACCTCTAAACCTGTAAAACAGGTCATAACCATCATGTCTGGAGGATTTTATTGGCCTAATGCTAGTTTTATGGTGTGAGTTAAAGCTGCCTTTAAGAGTTTTATATCATTTAATAGCTGTTACCATTTATTTTTTAGAGTGCTTCTTTTGCTGAAGCATTTCTATGTGAGCAGCAGCTGTGTGGCTAACGCTGTCGGGCTTCCTGATGTATAAAATACGTAGAATAAAGCACCCTGCACATCATCTGGTCACAAGCTGGTGCTCTACAGCGGATGGACAATAAAACATGAAGCAGGAGGGCTGGAGCGCTCAGGCGAGTATTTATTAGATGCAAATGAAAGAAAATCATCTGTTTCAACACCGTTTGTTTCTTGTGTGACCGCTGGTTCTGTTCTGGGCAAAAGCCCATTGCTCGTAGTGTTACTGTACCCAAGCACTGGCTCTCTGTCACCTTGACCTGTTACACAAGACTGAGCATCCCAGAGGGGCGCTAAGTTAAAGGCCACCTCCCAGTTCCCCACTGATGTTACTGAAGCGATATCAATGCTTCTTCCTTGAGGAGGAGGATTTGTCGCTGCCTTTTCTGCGTGTTAGGCTCGATGCTTCTCTGAATAAAGGCTGCTAAAGGCTGTCAGAATGCACAACGGTGAATGGGTGACTCGCTGATTCCTTCCCACCATGGAGGGGGGAGGGGGGCAGCAGCAGAGGAGCAATGATTGAGAGCAGCACCTGTCAGGTGAGACTTTTTGCAGATGATGGCGTGGAAAGGCCGACTGAGATGACCGCTGACCTCCAGCGTGACGACCTGCCAGGCGCTGCTGGTCTCCAGAGGGAGCGCACCGTGAAGCCCGAGCACCGGAGCTAAATCCGGGGCTGCAGTCCTGTTAATGTCTCCCTAAGCACAGCCAATGTGCTCTAAATACATTTCATTATCATCATTGTGATTATATCACTAATTGTGTGTACTTGGTAATGTGCTGCAGCAGCCACCTCCTGGGAGGCGTCTGAAGAACTGAATGATTCAAACACGTACGGTGAACCATGCATCAAAATGTCCCCGCGGGCCGCCGCCATGTGAGCGGCTGCACCGACACTCGCAGCCAGAGAACAGCAGACGAGGAGGTCTGCAGAGGGTTGGCAGGCTGAGGAGGATCCTGCAGGCAATAACAAGACAGGAGGTGGATTTTAGAGATGCAAAGGATTGACCCAAGCCGACCCCATCCATATCCACAGACCCAACTACATAACCTGTGTACCTTCTGACACGAGTGCAGAGCAGCCTAAATAATTCCTCCAGCTCTCAACACGGGAAGCAAAGGCTGAGTTCAAATCCTGACTGGGCTGCTTTGGCCTGCACTGAGAAGTGTTTCCATCTTCGTGAGTGGCTGACAGGAGAGGATAAAGTTTTTGTGACAGCATTTGATGAATGTTTAATCCAACATTCATGCTTCCCAGGCTGGGATTGAGTCCCAAGTCAAAACCCACCAAAGACACACAGCAGGTGTGTAAAATATTCATCCACTACACGCTTCATTAAGAATGAAACATACCACGGTCCCCGTTCATTTATTTATTTCGATTATCGAAACAAAAGACAGAAAAATGAGGGATTAAAACACGGTGGGTGTGCTATTCTGCATTTGTCTCGCAGATTTGTAACAATTTGTTTTGTGACAAATAACTCTGCCTGTTGAAGTCCCGCTGTCGTCTCGCTGAGAGTCAGGCCGCTACTGTGAGAGGAGCTTTCGTGTGAGGGCTGTAACAAATCACCGTCTGCCCGAGTCTCTCCAGCTCCCGTCCCACTGCAGCAGCTCGACCTTTGACCTGTCCAGAAGCGTCTGGTGACTCGTCACTGGAAGCAGGCTGATGCATCGCCGAGACGGCGACAGTGGTCGGGATCGTCTTTATTAATTAATGACAGTAACAATCTTTTCTGGTGACAAATGAAGCGACTGATGTGTCTGACACTGATCGGGCTCGATTTTAAAATCCCTTTCTGAACGTGTCATTTCAGAGCGACGACGCCGCTTCAGCAAATGTCTCACTCATTCTGATGACATCACTCCCCAACGGGCTTCATTAAAGTTTAATCTAACTACAGGAATCATCTTCAAACCCTTACATCACGTCCAGAGCTTCCATAAACAGAAATCTATAAATAAAATTAAGGCAAATAAACTTTTCTCTATTTTGTAACAGGATTACATTTCGTCAACAAATAAATACTCTTGTACTTTTTACCGTTACTATAATAAATGCACTGAAAGTAACTTGGCAATGGTTTACGTTTGTCTTTGGTCAGCTTTTACACATAAATACAGTTCACGTGACTTGATAATAATCTCTGCACAGATTTTTTAAACGTTTTTGGGAAAGGCTCAAACTGCACCTAAAGCATCTCTGTGGCTTGTTGTGAAATATGTGTTAACACACCAAACTCAACACACAAGAGCTCAGTAAAGTTCAGAAAAGACTCAGTTACACAGGGAATCATGTGTGTTTGGTTGGGATTGTTATTTTTGTTGTATCTGTGGGATAAAAAAAATCAAAGAACTCACATTTTCCACTTTTCTAGATGAACTGGGTCTGAAGGAATGGAGATCAAATTGTGAAATACACCTAAAAATACACAGACAGACACCGGGAAAAGCCTAAATGTGCTCCTCGGTATTTTGTTTTGCACTTGTGCAGTAGTGTGCAAAAGTTTTAGGCAGGTGTGAAAATTGTGTATACAAAGAAAGCTTTCAGAAATATTTTTTTTTCTTTCCCCGCTGAGGGAAAATAAATTAAAATTCTATTCTATTCTATTCTATTCTATACCACTTTTATTTATATAGCACTTTAAAACACAGCCATACGGCTGACCAAAGTGCTGAACAGTCGCACAATAATAGAGATAAAAAACATAAAACAGTACTATAAAATGCAGCCAACAATAAAAAAAGTCGGGCCGATAAAAAAGTACCAATAAAACGTTACAATGGACGATAAAATAAGAGTAGTAAACACCAAACTAACAGCTAACTGTTAAAAGCAAGGGTAAAATAGTGTGTCTTTAGTCTAGACTTAAAATCTGCCAAGGTGGATGCCAGTCGAACTGCGGCTGGAAGTTCGTTCCACAGGTTAGGACCCGCGACAGAGAAAGCTCTTTGTCCGCATGATGTGTAGCACGCTTTCGGGACCTCGAGGAGCAACAGGCTGGAGGACCTGAGTGTACGACCGGGAGTATAAATTGAAAGGTCAGCTAAGTACAGTGGGGGTGGGTGGGTGGGGGGTGGGGGTGGGGGTGGGTGGGGTGGGGGTGGGGGGGAGGTGGGGGGGTGCAAGACCATGGAGTGATTTGAAAACAAAAAGCAGCATTTTATATTGGACCCTGAAAGTGACGGGCGACCCATGAAGGGATTTGAGAACTGGTGTTATATGCTGGCGCCCGTCAGTACACGTTAGGAATCTAGCGCTGCATTCTGAACGAGTCGAAGTCGGGCAAGGGTTGACTTATTGACACCCAGCAAAACTGCATTCTGTTCTATTCTATTCTATTCTATTCTATTCTGTTCTGTTCTGTTCTGTTCTATTCTATTCTACTCTGTTCTATTCTATTCTATTCTATTCTGTTCTGTTCTATTCTATTCTATTCTACTCTACTCTACTCTGTTCTGTTCTGTTCTATTCTGTTCTACTCTATCTGTCTACAGAAATATCTGTTAATAAAATATAAATATTATAAAAAGTCTCAGCGTTTAACTGAATCTCATCCTACAGAGTAAAAGAACGAAAGGGGACTATTTAACTCAGCGGAGGAGCCCCTCCGCTCGCTAACGATTACGTCTACTGACGTCACTTTCCGTTTCCGGTTAAAATGGCGGCCGCCGGTGCTTGTGAATCGGCGCCGAACAATAATAATATTAACAAGACCAAGCCTGAACGGGAAGATACGGTTACGCTGTCCGGTTCGCGAGATGTTCCGGTCGGACGTGACCCGGTCGTGTCTCTGCTGTCCCCGGTGAGCGGACTCCAGCCGCTCTCCTGGTCCGAGGACCACCGCCTGGCCGTGGGCACCTGCGGCTCCCTGACGCTGCTGGAGCTGCTCTGCGACATCCACAGCAACAAGCAGGAGCTGACGCTGCACCGGACCTCCATCCCGGTACCGACGGAAGCACACAGGATTCGGGTAAACGAGCCGCTGTGCTGAAGTCACTAAACATGTTTACCTCTCATCCTGACGCATTCCTCGGTTTTTAAACAAAAACAGTAAAAACATTGTCAGCCTTTGTTTATTTCCAACAACAACAACCGGTCCCGAAGGTGCTTCTCTAAAATAATAATGATGATTAAAAGTAAACAAAAGCCAGATCACATGACGTGATTATAACTTTGGATAATAGTGAACTGGACGCTTAGACTCGTGTGTCTCTTTGGTTTCAACCCGTTTTTCTGCATTTGTGTGCATGTTTGTTCGTGCTGTGACTTTGTTAGATACATAGTCTCTGTGTTACGCCTCCAAGCAGGAAAACGGTGAAAACTGGGTCAGTTTTCATCGTGCTTCCCCGGGCGATCACGTGTGCACCTCATAACGCAGCAACGATTACCGTAGGTGTGTAATGTCACCCATCAAATGAATAATAGATTAATTTAAAGAGCAAGTCAACCCCAAATCACTTTTTTTTTTGCTGATAAACTATATAAAGGAGTGTCTAATCATGCTACAGACGCGTGCAGTCAATAATTTGGCAGTTCAGTGCATCTTGGTTAAAATTCAAATATTCTGCCTAAAACTGTCAGTGTTGCGCCGTCGTCAGGGAAAAACTCTGCACTGTATTTGAATTTAAATCTGCCACCGCTATTGGCTAAGAGTTATGCTATGATGTCATCTGGTATATTATGATGTCATAATTCCATTGTGAGCCTGTGTGTGTGCGTTTGTTAGCGGCTCCACCCCATGGGTCTGCCAAGCAACAGCATTTGTTGCATTTTTCAAACATGAAGTGGGAGTGAAGTAAGTTTCTTGTACGGGGTGACTTGCTCTTTAAGTTGCAAGAACAAGGCTGAGTGAGCTGTTAGTAGTCGGTGATGACGTCACGATCACGAGCCCTACAGCGAGAGGAAAGTCCTCTTTACTTAACCTAGTACCCCCGCAGCCTTACCCTGGATCAGCAGAGGGAAACGGATGGATGGTAAAAAAGATTAGATGATAAACAAACAGCAAGTTTTGTTCCATTTGTTGTTTCACAAAACTTAGCTAGCAGTTTGCTAGCTGTAGCATGGGAGATGGGTGGTCTCGTAGGGTGTCTTGCATTGAACTCTGCTGCAATGACCCGGTTACTGCGTTCACCAGATATCAACACCGTTTCGATCCGCTCCTCACGTGTTAATCTCTGACATGCCAATGGCAGTGAACAAAAAGAAACTTGTAAATAACTCATGAAAGAATAAAGTTACGTTCAAACCAAGCGAACCTTTGTTTTTCTTGTGAAATTCCCAATAATCTTAGGTGTGTTCTTGCTGTGTCTTTGTAAATCCATGCTTTCGTTCTTTTTTAAACACAGAAACAGTTTTGTTTACCTGTTTGTAGCTACGGTTTTGCCTGCAAACTGCAAAATAAAACTATGGAAACGCTACGTAGACGACATACTGGAAATCATACCAAAAGGTCAAACAGAAACACTAACACAACACTTAAACAATATTGACGACACGGGCAACATAAAATTCACTTATGAGTTAGAAACAGAAGGCAGCATAGCATTTATGGACATGAAAATCACCAGGCAGACCGACGGGACCCTAAACATAAACACATACAGGAAACCAACACACACAGACCAATATTTATTATGGACATCAGAACACCCCACCATACACAAAATGTCAGTAATCAGAACATTATATCACCGAGCAAACATAATAACAGAAGAGAGAGACCGTAAACAAGAGGACAAACACATACAACACGCTTTAAAGACCTGCAGATACCCGACATGGGCAATAAACAAAGGAAAACAACAAACAAAAACAGAAAGCAAAGAACAACCCAAAAAAAGAACCAGAAACCCAGAAAGACAAGAACCAAAACCAGTGATAACCCTACCATACATCAGAGGCATAACGGAAAAAATAAGAGCAACAATGAAAAAACACAACATAAACACACCAACAAAGCCATACACAACAGTTAGAAACAGATTAGTACACCCAAAAGACAAAATATCAGCTGGACAAAAATGTGGAGTCATCTACGAAATCCCATGCAAAATATGCAATAAAACATACATAGGAGAAACCGGACGCCAACTCAATATACGGACAATAGAACACAGAAAGGAGTGCGAGAAAGAGGCAAATCGTAAACACACAAGAGCAGCAAAAGAAGAAGCAGAAAGTACAATAAAAAAGTCAGCCGTAACAGATCATTGCTTAAGAGAAAACCATATAATGGACTGAGACAACACACGGATCATAACCACTGAACAACAAAAATACAAAAGATGGATCAAGGAAGCAATCGAGATAAGGAGACGTGGATGTGGGACCATGAACAGGGACGACGGAGTTTACACGCTGGACCACGCATGGGACTGCATCGTCTGAGAGGGGAGAGCGGGCAGTAGAGGGCGACAACGTCCTCTGCTGCCCACAGATAAACTGAGAAGGAAGTGACGCGCCACCATCAGCGTCAGCCTGAAGAAGCCGGCAGCTGTCGGCGAAACCGTAGCTACAAACAGGTAAACAAAACTGTTTCTGTGTTTAAAAAAGAACGAAAGCATAAATTCCCAATAAGTTTGATGTGTCACATGACCCTCTTCCAATTGGAAAAAAAACAAAAGTTGGGTCCAAGATGGCCGACTTCAAAATGGCCACGATGGTCACCACCCATCTTGAAAAGTTTGCGCCCTCACAAATGTGCCACAAACAGGACGTTAATATCCCCAACCATTCCCATTTAAAGTGTTTCCATATAAACGGCCCATACGAGTCATAGAGTGGACGGTTTATTCATGTTTTATTATCTTTAAAGGTGGGATCGCCAGCAGAGGTAGCAGAAGCGATGGAGAAGTTCTCCACCCACCCAGACCCCACGGTGAGGCAGGAATTTCTGGCAGACGCTGTGATCAACCCGTCAGTCGGTGCACGCACGGGAGTGAAATACTCCAGCTGGTCGCCGATAGGCTGCGACTCCACTGGATGCTGTCTGCTGGCTTGTCTGACGCTCGACAACAGACTCACCGTGCACAGGAGCCACAAGCACCTGGAGTGGACCACGATGGTCGATGTCTCCAAAAAGTACAGCGAGAGGCTTAAGGAGCGAGGCTACGCTAAAAAGGACAACAAACCTCCGGAGGCAAACCTGCTGGACTTTGATGAGCTGCAGCGGCGCTTCCGTATGCAGACGCCTCTGAGGATGGAGTGGTCAAGCGTTTACTCTATGACGCACGTTCAGCAGGACAACTCCTGCGTGAATGTGGACATGGTCCTCCTCGCTGTTCTGATGGAAAACGGTGACCTCGTTTTGTGGAAGTTCTCGTTGCCGTTCACGAAAGGCGAAGACGTGGAGTTTTACGACTTGGTTGAGTCCGGCGTGACTCGCCCCAGTGACCTGGCCTGGTGGGAGTACGAAAACGAGGATCGACGGATGAGCGGCCTCATCATCGGCAGCGAGGTGGGACCTGTGAAGATCATGCCGGTCAACCTGTCCAAAGTGAAAGGCTACTTCACCGTCCGGCAGCCCATCGTCCTGTGGAAGGAGTGCGATGAGATTCCCGTTGAAAACATCAAATGCGTCCCGCTGATCCACCCCATCCATAAAACCAGCTGCAGCCTCATCGTTGCCTCGCGAGGTTGCTACATCTTCTGGTCTTTGCTCATGATCTCACCAGCTGGACTCAACGTGCACAATTCCCACTTAGCTGGGCTGAATTCACTTCCTGTGGTCTCTCTGACAGTCAGTCGGCACAGCGGTACGTTCTACACATGTTCCACGGACGGGTGGGTTACAAAGCTGACGCCAAAGTTTACGGAGAGCTCTCTGGTTTTTACAGTAGATAAGCTGCTGCAGCCCGAGGCCCTCACAGGAAGTAGGATCCACGGTATCTCTGTGAGCCACAACGGCGCGTACTTTGCCCTGGTCGGCACTCAGGGGTTGGTCGGGGCCTTTCACCCCATTCGCAGAACTTACAAGGTTCACTTTTTGGCACTGAAAGCACCTGAAACTGCAGCAGTGGAACTGCTCAACTCCCCCACACAGAATCTGTATAGAGGGATGGACCTGCTCGACTTGGTGAGGTGGAACGTTTTAAAAAACAAGTGCATCCCGACGCAGCTGCAAGAAGAGCTTGATCGGAAAATCCAGGAACTAGACACGCCCTACTTGTGGCGCTTGAAGCTGTTTTTGTGGAGAATTCTCCACCAGTCACTGCATACTCCTCGGGTGAACCACAACTGGAGACCCACGCCGGCGGAGGCAGTGATTGTTGGGCCGGAGGCTGCTGAGAAGGAAGGGGAGCTGGGCAAAGTCAAACGGAAGAAAGAAGAGGAGCGCAGGGCTGAGGTTCAGTCTCTGATCAGAACTATGGAGACCCATCTGATGAGGGCAAATATAAAGAAGGTGTTGGGGGTGGTTTACCTAAACACCTGGATCGCCAAGAACATCAGCATACCCACCTGTGGCCTGATGGATTACCTGTCCAAAGATCCCAACGACAGAGATTCAGAGGTAAGGGGTAACGTAAAACTCTGTCAGTCATTCATCCCTGTGGGGGTCTTACGAGTAGATCTTGTTATGTGTGATCTACAGCAGCGGCTGCAGGTTCTATTAGAGAACCAGAGAAATTACTGATTCAGGTTAGTCTAGCAGTGGTGCAGTGGTTAGAGCTGTTGCCTTGCAGCAAGAAGGTCCTGGGTTCGATTCCAGGCCTGGGATCTTTCTGCATGGAGTCTGCATGTTCTCCCTGTGCATGCGTGGGTTCTCTCCGGGTTCTCCGGCTTCCTCCCACAGTCCAAAAACATGACTGTTAGGTCGATTGGTCTGTCCAAATTGTCCTTAGGTGTGTGTGTGTGTGTGTGTGTGTGTGTGTGTGTGTGTGTGTGTTGCCCTGCGATGGACTGGCTCTCTGTCCAGGGTGTACCCCGCCTGATTGACAGTTGACTGCTGGAGATAGGCGCCAGCCCCCCGCGACCCTACATGGACAGAGCGGGTTGAGAAGATGGATGGGTTATTCTAGCACACATATGTCTGAGTCAAGGCCCGCGGGCCAGATGTGGCCCGCGAGATAAATATCAAAAATATATTAAAACTGGCCCGCTGGCTGATTTTACCACAAAGACTTCAATTCCCATGATGCTTTGCGGCGCCAGTGCGGAGGTGACGCGCCCCCTCCTTTGTGTTTTTTCCAGCCCGAGGCAGTCAGAGGTAGTTGGGTGTCTGCAGCTCCGCTGTCTCGGACAAACTACACTCCTCTCACTCAGCGCCGAGTTCACTCAGCTGTTTTCCGACGTTGAAGCCCAGAAACGGAGATTCTAGCCGCTCAGTAATGTGTTCCCGACTGAAAGAGAAAGTTTTCCAACTAACGTCCAGACAGAGCCGATATAACTCCAGCGAGCAGCGACACGCTCAAACCAGCACGGCTCTGTGGTTGTGTTTCCTCCCCGACACACAACAACGTGGTCAAGCTGCTCAGACATGTTCATCAGCACAAACCTATGTGAGCACCTGTTGTCATCTAATGTTGTCATTATTATGATGAAGATGAACAAAACAACAGGAGTCTCCTCCTCAGCTCAGATCAACCCCATGATGCAGGTATCTGGCTGGAACAGGTGAGCATCACAGTAAACCAGTGGAGCAAACTGAGCTTTAAATATGTTGGTTTTATGCTCTTTTTCTTCTCCAAAACATGAAAGTTAACAGGTGAGATGTTGCATTTTCATTTAAGGTAAAATTATATTTTTATTTTGTTGTTGGCCCGTGAGAAAAGATTTAACCTACAGTAAACAGGAAGTGGAAAGGCTGCAGATAGATGAATAGAATAGAAAATCCCTTTATTGTTACTCAGTGGGGAAAGCTAGACGTCACAGCAGCGATGACACGTATTACAGGAGAAAAAAAGGAGAATAAAAATAAGAAAAATTAATAAACAAGAAAACATAAATCCTGAATAGATTTTAAAAATGCTGAATATACCACAAGTAATGAATACCACTGATGCCTTTTATTTAAAACTGACTTGCTCGTGTGTAATTTGGTTATTCCACATTCAGTGTTAATGCAGAAATAAGTTTGTTTCCAAATTTAAAGGTTCAAAATTGCATAAATGTCGATAAAGAAAATGTGCAAATTTGCGTCACTTTTTCAAAAAATATTAAGTTTGGCCCTCGACTCCGTCCCAGAGTTTCATTTCGGCCCCGTGTGAGTTTGAGTTTGACACCCCTGGTCTAGCACCACATAACAACAAGAGTGGTCTCAAGGCCCTTTAGAAAGTAAATGAGCTGTTGTCCAGTAAAGACGCGTCGTCTAGATCTGTCAGAGCAAACATTTAAGGAGATTGCAGAAATTATAGCGGGAGACCCTTCGTCTCTGAGGAAGTAATGTGTCCAGAAAGAAAATCCTGAATGATCGTGATCGGCAATCATTTAACCTTCCCACTGTCTTCATGGGTGACCCCGCAAAGAAAGTTGATCATTGAGCAGGATTGATGGTTTATCCTTTGAGGTCCACGTGGCAGAGGTGAGGTGGTGCTCACTCCTCACCTCAAGGGATAAACCATCAATCCTGCTCAATGATCAACTTTCTCTGCGGGGTCACCCATGAAGACAGTGGGAAGGTTAAGTGTTTGAAATCAAATAAAAGAAAACCAACAGCAGAACTCAGGGTTATGTTTAATGGTGACGGTGAGAGCATTAGGACGGAACCGCTGTGTAGCCATGAGAAAACCACAAATCTGTGAGGCCAACCAGAACGAAAGGCTTCAATAGGGAGCATTGGGATTGGACTCTGGAGCAATGGAAGAAGGTCATGTGGTCTAAAGAGTCCAGATGGACCCTGGTCCAGAGTGATGGTGCATCAGGGTGAGAAGAGAGGCAGATGAAGTGATGCACCATCATGCCTAGTGCCTACTGTACAAGCCTGTGGGGGCAGTGCTATGATCTGGGCTTGCTGCAGGTGGTCAGGTCTAGGTTCAGCAACAGGATGTGCTCCAAGAATGAGGTCAGCTGACTACCTGAATATCCTGAATGACCAGGTTATTCCATCTTCTCCGATGGCACAGCCGTATTCCAAGAAGACAATGCCAGGGTTCACCAGACTCAAATAGTGAACGTGTTTCAGGGAGCACGAGACGTCGTTTTCACACATGGGTTGGCCACCACGGGGGGGGGGGGGTGTTTACATGTTCGGCTGCTGTTTCTCACCAGCATCAGCTGATGGAGGGCTCTAGGTTCGTTGCGCCGTTCGTGTCAGCAGACACGGTAGGGTCAAGGAGGGGGGCGGGGCATGCCGCTTAGCCAGGAGTAAAGAGCTCGCCCTGTAATCCGAGGGTTGCAGGTTGGAGCCCCACTAAGTCTGTCGCTGTCGTTGTTTCCTTGGGCAAGACACTTGACCCCCCTTACCTGCTGGTGGTGGTTGGAGGGACCGGTGGCGCCTGCGTATGCAGCTGTGGCTACATCGTAGCTCATCACTACCAGAGTGTGAGTGGGTGAATGACTGATTGTGTTGTAAAGCGCCTTGGGGGGCTCCAGGACTATTAGTACAGGCCATTTACCCAGCTGAACCAGACAGACAACAATATGTCACAAACAACACGTCTGACCTGTGGAGGAGGGGTAGCTGGACTCGTATCATGTGTGTGTGAAATGCAGAAGTTGTGTCACTAGAAGAGTAAAAACCCATCAGGATCACTTCTCTTGTTACATTTTAATGCCGACGATGATCTGTGGCCGATCAGTCGTAACACCATGACCTCTAGGACCCTGCCTTTGACCTGTTGCTTTCATTTAGGAGGGTTAAGTCTTTAATGATGAACCAGATTCCTCTGAGATTGTGCTGAAGCCGGACAACTAGGAGGAACATAAACGCTCCTGTTCCTGAAGTTGCCGTATCCCAGCGACCCTTTTGTTTAGGAGAACAACATCCCTACTGTTCCCGCCGCCTCTCCTCATCCTCTGGTTCTGTCTCTGATTCCAGGTCCTGATCCACCACATCAGGAATAAAATGAACAAGCAGATGTTCTTGGAGCGCTGCAGCCTCTGCCAGGCCGTGCTGCCCTTTACGGACCACAAACGGGCCATCTGTGAAAACGGACACATGTGGCACAGGTGGGCTCGTCGCTCCTGTTCACACACCTGCAGGTTTCCGTCTCATCTGAGCCCGACACTAGGATGAGATTAGAAGCCCGAAGCCTTCTTTGACCGCTTCTTTATCCTCAGAGAGCCGTAATCACACCGCCGGCGTTGTAATTTACCCAAGCACCACTCTCGTCCAATCATAAAGCTCGTCTGTCAAACGTCTCCAGCTAGCTGCTGGCGCCTCTGCTGGGCACAGGCTCCCATCAGTTTGCACGTCAGCGCTGCTTCCGCCAAACCTTTCTACCCTGTGTGTGTGTGTGTGTGTGTGTGTGTGTGTGTGTGTGTGTGTGTGTGTGTGTCTGCCATCTAGCTTCCTAATGCACGTGTCGCGGTCTCCTCCAGGTGTGTGTTGTCGTACCAGGCCTGCCAGACGATGACGTTCAGAAGCTGCCTGCTGCACGATAGCATAGCCAGACTGCCAGAGCCTGAGGGTAAGCGCCACTTTCCATCCTCCTCCTCTTCCTCCTCCGTTTCACCGCCGCGCGCTCGACCAGCCATCCGTTCCTGTCACCCTCCACGTCAGCCTTCAGCCGCGCGTCGGCTGCTCAGGTCCCCGCGTGACATGTCCAATCCCCACTCCCTAGAAAACTTAACACCTAACAAGTAGAGACCGTTCTGGGAATTACCTGGATCTTTTTCCCCGCCCTGTTTTTGCCGCTTTCTTTAAACGAGAATCTGAATTTTGTTATATTTATTAATTTTTGCATTAATTTAACATATTTTAGCTCAGAGAGAAGATTTGGTGCTGATTCAGTTTAGCCCACAGAAAAGGCTCAATATTTAATCTGCACCCTTTAACTTTCACTTTTTATGCTTTAATTAGAGATTCATCAGAACTTCTTGGTAAATATTTTCATTTAGACTTGAATTCAAACAGAAAATAACCCAGATGAGTCCGAGTGGTCATGAATGACATCACACCAGTGAAACTGGTTCAAACTGCAAACGGGTAAAAAATAAAAACATAATCTGTTTCCAGATTTTGAGGCTGACAGTTTTTTTCCGGATGCGTTGGCGTCCGGCTGACGTTTCCTGTTTGATCATAAAATGACTCAAACTTGTTTTGATTAGAATTTAAATGAGAATTCTCTGAGAAAATCTGGAATGACGGTACCTTTTGTCCGGGCTAAATAAATCAGGTGCGGTTGGTTCTGGTGGAGGTTGATAGTTTGGAGGATTGTATTTCCGCACCGGCTTCATGCGGCTGCTGCCTGCACCTCCGATCCTCCTCCTCCTCGTCGGAGAGCCCCGAGGCTCAGCCCTGCTGGTCATTCCAGCCTGTCTGAGCGAAAGGCTGACAGCTCTGTGCTGCTTTTGGGGGCATCCGTCACAATCATTCCCGTTCCACCACACAGTCCAAAACAGCACTTTTATGCTGCTTTTTATACTTTATTTTGACCTCATTTGCTAAGAAAAAGTGCAGTTTTGCTGATTAAAGTTAGAAATAAACACATTTCACATTTTTAAAATCATCTGTGACTTGTTTTGCTTCTGTTCAGACCCAGACTGGATAAAGAAGATCCTGCAGGCGCCCTGCTCGCTCTGCGACTCGCCGCTGATCTGAAACCTCCGGCCGTCTCTGCGGGCTCCGGTTCACTCGCATCTATTGTTTTTATTTGTCTCTTTTATAAAACACCAATAAAAACACTTTGATAATCCGCTGCTGCTCGCTTCACTTCAGTCACATTTTACAGGCTTCTTTATTATTTTTCCTCCTAAATTTAATTCCCAGAATCCAAGTTTTTTTTAAAAAGTGGAGCTTTTTATTATTCCGTCGGACTTCAGGGCGCCAAAAATAAGCTCCTCGTTTTCCTCATGTTGACTAGATTTCTAAACCTTTGGTGTAGTTTTATTGCAAGTAAGTGGAACTTACTCTGCAAGTCCTATTTTAGCTCTTTCTTGTGTGTGTTTGAGCTCAACAAATAATACGGTGTGAATAATACATCGTGTGGAGAAAACTCTACATACCTACTTTAATTGGCACTAAAACAATTTCCAGGCCCTGTGAGGAGGGGGAGGAAGAGCGTGGTGGTGCTCAGTCATTCTCTCAGATGAGGACTTCCGCTAATGTAAACGCAGAAGAGACGAAGCGGCGAGGCGGATGAAATGAGCAGGAGGCAGGAAGAGAAAGAAAAGTGTGCTTAAAAAGCTGCCGCGCTCCTCCCGCGGGAGCGGCGCCTAATGAGATTCAGCGGTAATGAGGGACAGAACATGGAGCCAGATGTGAGCAATTCTAATCAAGGAGGGGGCCATGGAGGAGGAGTGGGGGGTGGTGAGAGAGCATATTGTTAAATACAATTAACCCTTTTTTCCTGTTAGGAGGGAACAAGGGCTGCAGGGAGGGGGCCACGGGCGCAGCAGCCTGTTCTCCGGGCCTCCCCTCGGCTCCGGCTTCATGTTTTCACGGGAGGTCAGCGGCCGCTGATCAAAGAACCGGCTGGACCTGAGAGCGCCGGCCCCCTCCTGGTGGCACCCACCGGCCCCGGCAGAGGCGTAGGGAGGGGGGGGAGGTCTGGTGTCATCGGAGAGATGATAGCCAAGCCCGAGGCGAGAAGAGAGGAAGGAGCATCAGAGGAAAGGAAACTTTAGTTTCTAAAACTCACATTTCAGACGACTGCCGTGGCGTTTGTTGGCCTCGGCTTCGTCATTTATTTATTTATTTATTTAAAGAAAACAAACTCATATGAGTAGTTTAAGAGCTCGTCCCAGTTAAAACGATGCAGGAAACATTTTCCACCTGCGCTGCCTCCCCATCCTCGGCTCGGGCGCTAAAATTATAAACGGTGATGTTCCTGAGGCAGAAGAACCCGAGAACGAGACGGAATAAACCCGGAACGAGAATAGACTGAGCTGCAGTCGTATTCAGTGCAATCAACAGTTTCTGATGAGCGTGCCTTCTGAGTCCTTACAGACTGCTTAAGTCTGGTGTGGTCGCTTGTGCACGTAAACGAGAACCATCTAACTGTTATCTTACCTGTTGTTCTCTGCTGTAAAGCTAATGTGTGTGTTGCTGCTGCCTCTGGGCCAGAATGAGTCGACTCGTCTGCATCAATAAAGGTTCAATCAATAATCGTAATGTGGAGTGGAAAAGTTTCATAATTAGTCTGACAGGATGTCGGAGGAGGATTAAGTAGGTCACAAAGTTCTATACAACTCAGTTTACATTCAATCTTTTCTATGGGCACACGTGCGCGCGCGCGCGTGTGTGTGTGTGTGTGTGTGTGTGTGTGTGTGTGAGAGAGAGAGAGAGAGGAAAAGAAGAAATGGATTTTCAGACTGATAATCTAAGTAAAAGAAAATGTCCCCTATCGGCCGTATTTATGACATGTTCAGTTTGTTCACATCGAGCTTTATTTTTACATTTTATCCTTTTGGGGGTTTGAGTTTCACCTAAGAACCTGCAGACAGCTCATCCATCCATCCATCCATCCATCCATCCATCCATCCATCCATCCACCCATCCACCCATCCATCCATCCATCCATCCATCCACCCATCCATCCATCCACCCATCCATCCATCCATCCATCCATCCATCCATCCATCCATCCATCCATCCATCCATCCATCCATCCACCCATCCATCCACCCATCCACCCATCCATCCATCCATCCATCCATCCACCCATCCATCCATCCATCCATCCATCCACCCATCCATCCATCCACCCATCCACCCATCCATCCATCCATCCATCCATCCATCCATCCACCCATCCATCCATCCATCCATCCATCCATCCATCCATCCATCCATCCATCCATCCATCCACCCACCCACCCATCCATCCATCCATCCATCCATCCATCCATCCATCCACCCACCCACCCATCCATCCATCCACCCACCCACCCATCCATCCATCCATCCATCCATCCATCCACCCATCCATCCATCCATCCATCCATCCATCCATCCATCCACCCATCCATCCATCCATCCACCCATCCACTCATCCATCCATCCATCCATCCATCCACCCACCCATCCATCCATCCACTCATCCATCCATCCATCCACCCATTCATCCACTCATCCATCCATCCATCCATCCATCCTCTGCTCATCCGGAGTCGGGTCACAGGGACAACAGCCTAAGTCGAGAGGCCCAGACTTCCGTCTCCCCAGCTACCTGGGCCAGCTCCTGCGGGGGAATCCTAGGGCGTTCCCTGGCCAGGTGAGAGACATAGTCCCTCCAGCGTGTCCTGGATCTTCTTTGGGTCTCCTTCCGGTTGGACGAGCCCACCTCGTCCAGGAGGCATCCGGACCAGATGCCTGAGTCACCTCTGGACATTTTCAGTACCTTCCAGAATGAGCTGTTTAAGGGTTCTGTCACTGATGAGCTTGGATATCTGGAAGGGCCTCGGGGTAGAGCCACTGCGCTTCCAAACCCAGAGAGGAAGTCCGTAATCAGTGAAAGGTGGTGGGCGTGTTCTATGCTCATGACCCTTATTGTGACATCACAGTAAGGGACAATAAGGGGCTTGTAGAAGCATGTGATTCTTGAACCCAAAATCTAACCAAAGATGGAGGGCAGACATTTTGATTTCACTGTCTATAGAGGCAGTAGAGAGCATCATGGCAACACGACAGATTCATAAAGTGAGATTTGCACAAGTTGTCCCTTTTAAAATCACTTTAAAAGGTTTTGTATCAAGTCACTGAGAAAGATGAAATAATTATTGTTAAAAACTTGACCTTTAAAGACCACCACGGGGGGACCCCGACCCTTTCTTTAAAAACCACTGCCGTGGATAGCGGTTTATAAGAAGGATGGTGGCGTTCATCCGTGAGAACGTGTGAATTCCTTTTGAGGAATACTTTCGCCTCATCCTGCTTCATTCTTGCTCCTTCATGTTTTATTCTCTTCTAGACTTTCAAGAAACCTGGCTTTCATCTGACATGTTTAGAACTTTTTATCTTTAATAAATACAACATTTTCTCCTTTTAAAAAACTTTTTAACTACAGTAAATGAATACAAGCCCTTTTAGTAGTGTTCGGAGCGCATCAGGGCACTGTGTGTGTGTTAACTTTCTGTCTTAAACGTCAAACTGTTCCAGAAAGCAGCAGAAAAACCGGAGACGGAAACAATCTGGAGCCTTTTTATCAGAAAGTTTAGTTAGAAAATCCATTTATTCTGAAAGTTTGCATTTCCGTCCTGAACACTGAGCTGTCTGACATCTTTATGCACGTCTTGTTGTCCTAAAGCAGCTGTTGAATTGATCAGATCTGTGAAGTTTTTAGGTTATTTTTAAGGAATTTCTGCAGCTCAGGTTCCTTTTAAGAGCCCAGTTCCTCCATGACGCCTGCAGACCGCTTTGAATAAATACAAAAAACATTAATAGAGCCCAAAGGATCTAAACACAGTCAGAAACTCGTCGTTATTTCAGGAATTTCATTGAAATGCAGCTGTTTTTGCCGGATTTCCTCTCAGCTGCTTGCAGGACTTCCTGCCTGTTGTCATTAGCTGTGCTGCAGCGTTCGGAGCCTCGGCTGCTGTCAGCTCGTATTTCTGCTGCAGCCCAGATACTCGGGGTGTTGTTTGTCAACTGGAAGTGGCTCCTCAGGTTGTAATGTTCCTGTCACTGCTAGGTGGAGACCAGCGCTGTTCCAGGTTAGCTGTGTTTGGTTGATCCTCCTCCGCTTTAATACAATAATCCGCCAGAGAGCATCTCCACTGGTAATTACCTGCTTCCCCTCCCATTTTGTCTCCCACTGTCTTCGCTCTCAAGACTTCAAACGGGAGATTTTTCTCTTTGCATACAATATTTATATCCTTTATGTCAGCGGCTGGAAGACATGCAACATTCATGGCACCTTTTCACACCTTAATTTCATGTGATATTCCTTTTGTTTTGTTTGGACTGGATTTTGAACATGATGTGTCCCACTGTATCCTCTTGAGGGGATCAGTTCGTTTTGTTGCTTCAGAATATTTCAATTTGGAAACGGAACAGATGCTGCATCTGCATCCGACAAGTGACAGCAGACGCTCTTCCTCCAGCCTCCTCTTAATTCTTTTTGATTCTCTCAGAGAAATGTTCAGAATCAGGCAGAAACATGACTGTTCTGCAGCATTTACCAGTTTGACGTTCGCGTGTTCTGATCTTTGTGGTTTCATGACTTATTTGCTTTATTTATCTTTTATTTTACTATCATGTTTGAGAAGTAGCCCGTGTGGCTTCACAAGGTGTGCTAAAGATGTACCGATTCCGATAGCTGACCGGAATCGGCTGATTTTCATGCTGACCAAGGATCATCAGAGAAGTCAGCGAAAAAATCTTAATGTAGTTAGCAGCTTTTTCTTTTATTTATCATTATCTCGTGTTGTTTGTTTTTACACAAAAGTACATTTTTGTTTTCTTACTGTTACTGTAAATCAGATACTTATAAATACTCTAACTACTCTGGCCTAATGCTGAGAGTGCCTCTAAAAACCCAACCATGGATAAACTGTCATAGAGCTCATTTGACCCTAAATGTAGGACACAATGGGCGTGGCATCAGATCCTTTTGCTGGTTTTGTTCCCCTGATACTCAGTTGTATAGGAAGGTCCTGGTGTTCAGAACCTCTGGGTTACAGTACTGTGTTATTTACAGATTAAGGTGGTGTCTCTGTCCTCTTGAATCCTGTTGTCCACTTATAAAATGATGAC